GCAAAGAGTAGTTCTCCATCTGTTCATTACTGCCCTTTTTCTTTTTTTGAAGTCCCATGTCATATACTTCCGCTGTAATATTTATGAGCTGATACATTCAAGCCCTAAAACAATATGATTTTTTAAAACTTCACAATTAAATCCGTCTCCAGCACAATAGATTGTGGATTTTTCAAGGGTTGAGTTGCAAGAGAAGGCGTTACAAACCTCTCTGGTAAATAATATGCTTTTTTTTTATAAAGGTTGTCTGCCTAAATATTTACAGTACACAATAGACTTAATGGCTTCTCTGAAATGAGGAAGGGTTTAAAAATTCCCTTGGTGTGCATTTTCAAATGATCTTGGTTCACATTGACTGTACACAGTAATTATGCCTGCAAAGAAGCAGAGGACTCTACCCAGTAATAATTTAAACAAATTATCTCAACTTTCATGTTCTTCAAGTTAATTTTCTCCCCCAGCTAACATAAAAATATTGAAAAAAACATATTTAAACACAGTGCAAAGGGATTGACTGGACCTAATAAACACCAGGGATCTGGAGCGAAGTTCTTCACTCATCTTAAGGGAAAATGAAGCAAACGGAAAGAAAGTTGGATAGCCTACAAAAGTATGAGGCCTACAAAACTCTATCAGCAATGGTTTAGCCCTCGAGTCCCACACTTATTGTACACGGGAGCAGCAATCTGCACCGAGGTTCTAGCGACGGTGGAGTGTGGTCTAGGGATACGGCAAGGCAATGAGAGTCAGGCCTTCTGGATTCATTTCCGGTTTCACCATGTGACCTTGAATGAGTAATATGACCTCTCTTTGTGCTTCAGTTTACCCAGCTGCAGAATGGATATTACAATGCTTCCCAGCCTCACAGGAATGCGGCTAGACACTTGGGGTACAGCTACAAGGCAAGCAGAAATCCACGTCACAGAGCCCAGACTTACAGATCGGGGCTTGTCCACAGTGCTAGAAATAGCTGTCTAGATATTTGGGCTGGGACTGGAGCTTGGGCTCTGAACACTAGGCTCTGAAGACCATAGGCCCAGGCTCTGAGACTCGCTGCTTTGAGTTTCTGCTTGCCGTGTAGATGTACTCTTAGTTCTGCTGCTCTCGAGGTGCAAAGTAGCCTTCCTGCTGTTTTAACCAGCCAGTGGAAGATTTTCTCTGTGCAGGGGAATCCTTGAGTGGCATAGAACCAGCAGCTCCCTTCCTGACCCCTGGTGTGAAACATGTTACCGTGGGGAAAGAAGATAAGGTCGGGACATGCCCGGCCCTGTTGCTCCCTAGCTGCTACAATGGACCTTCAAGGCCAGAGGCAGATGGGTGAGCATTAGACTGGCTCCAGGATCCAGTGGTCACCTCTTCACAGAATCCTCCTCTTGAACTGCGTCCACTCAGCTCTGTTTGGCCGGTGCCCGTGATCGAGGCCACGGTGTCTAATTTAATTAGTTCTTTGAAAACCTTGGGCAAAGACCCTTGCAAAGGATTATTAGAATGTCTCTGCCTATTTTAAATCGATTTCTGTTAAGTTTTGGAAGTATATTTTGTAAAAGGAAGAATGCCATCACAAAGTCTGAGGAAGTGCCAGCAGATCTGCCTGCTGGCACTCAAATAGTTAAATTATTGGTCGCGGAAGGGGCAGGGAGTGAATTTCACCATTCATGAAGAAGTGAGTAGAAGCTCATTCCTTTTATATGTGTTTTATGACTGTATTTTCTGTTCCTTCCTGCAACACCCTGAGATCCTTATCACAGCACAAAGTGGCTAGCGAAACAAATGCGAGTTGCTTTTACAAGAATGAAATATGTTCTTTTCTTTGCATCTCAGCCTAGGTCACTCAGTTCAAGGGACTGTGTCCTTGTACAGTAGTAGTTTCATTGCAATTGGTGTAGAACAGAATCCTTTGCTGAAAGAGTTGCATGCTTTAGGACTTAAAGGGAGAATTTTTTTTAAGCATGTGTCACCAGAGATCCAGGCTAGTCAGATTAACTGAAACTTAATAATGGGCAAAGTACAGCAATGCAAGTCCCGGCAAGTCTGTGGCTGAAAACCCCATTGTAGACAAGACCTAAGACACGTGAAAACAATAACCCCCAAAATATTAAACTGGCTGAAATTAGTAGTAGTAGTAGTTAATAGAGCAGTTCAAGTTCTTGTATCAACTCTCGCAGCCAGTAAGAGTAGGGAACAAACAAAGCTACTAGATACAGACCCCTCATGGGGACACGGGAATGTGAGGCCAATGGTGTCTAGAGTGCATGCATCTTTTCCTGAGCAAAATCTGGCAAATTTGTGGTTGAGATCAGACAATAAAAGGGCTGCGTCTAAATTCTAGTAGAATTTCCCTTTGTTAGCAGGTCGAAAATCACCTCTGGGCTGAGGGCAGGCAGAGACCCTATGCATTGATTAGAGCCCAGTTTCCAGGACTTGATTAGGACTTATGGTGTTGCATCGTCCTTGTGCTGCAATTCTGAACAGAGGTGAATTTCACCCTGAGACACGTAGTTAGGTATACACGCTTTTGAAGCAAAATATGGGCCAGTTTTACAACAAAACCCTCCAGACTCCGTTTGGGTACTGGACTATGCCCAGGACTCTGGGCTTCAAAATTTATGCTTCCTGCCTGCGTTCCTTCTCGGTTAGCATGGGTGGTTGTTGCTGGCTGAGAAGGATCCCAGCAAGGTGCAGTATCTGCTGTTTGTTCCCCAGCCATACCCAAGAAGGGTGGGAACTTCGCCTACGGAAGCCTAATGGAAAAGTGCATGAGGCCGCAATTTAACCCAGGCCAGGGGATCCTCCCCACTTATACATTGGCCTGACATAGTAAGGAGTGCACCTCCTGCCATGAGGTCCAAATCAGGAGCAAAGGTGTCTACCTCCACAGATCCCTCAAGGGGTCTTGTTGGGAGAGCAGGGAGCATTCTCATAAACATGAGGCCAAGTCTTCCTCCAAATGATCTTTGAAGAAGTCAGATCCAGGCCAGCCTAAACTGACCAGTAGCTCAGCCCAAGAGAATTTAGTATGTCCAGAGTCCCAGAGGCTTAGGGTTAGGGTGTACTCGCCAAACCGGCAATCAATGAGCACCCTAGTGATTGTTCCCACCCAGGGCCGGTGCTACCATTAAGACAAACTAGGCGGTTGCCTAGGGCGCCAAGATTTGGGGGCGCCAAAAAGTGGTGCCCCCAATTTTTTTTTTTTTTTTAACAGCATTCCTGGGCTGGGCTGCCGGCGGCGTGCTGACACGTGCGGCTCAATCTCCCTCTCCCAGCGCAGCGGCCACTCCACTTCTCTCGCCTCCCAGGCTCACGGCGCCAATCAGCTGTTTGGTGCCACAAGCCTGGGAGGGGAGGAGAATTAGAGCAGGGGCGGCGTGCTCGGGGAGGAGGCAGAGCAGAGATGAGCTGGGGTGGGGAGCTGCCACACGGCTCCCCGGGGTGGGGGGGGGGGAAGATGTCGCGGGGGGGTGGCGCCTCAGGGTGGGGGGGATGGGGAGCTGCCGCAGGGCGGGGGGAGGGGGCGCAAAGTGGAAGTTTCGCCTAGGGCGCGAAACTTCTTTGCCTTGATATTGGCCCTATCATGGTGGAAGAATCCCCATCAGGTTTGCATCCATGTTTCCTTTCTTGCTTCCACACAGACAGGATGATCACTGGCAATGCATCCCTGTTAGGTTGAGGTGCTCACGTGGACAACCGTACAGTGCAGGGCACCTGGACATCTCAAATGTCCAGGATGTACATCAAGAGCCATGAGCAGTTTGAAGGGCTTGTGAAACCTTTCTCCTGTTCACTCAAGGTCACGGTGCCTTCATTATGTGAGACAACATCACAATCAACTCTTACATAACGAACAGGGAAAAATGCAATCCGTCCCCCTGGGTGCAGAAACGTTGAGTCTGTGGAACTGGTGCGTCAACAATCAGATTACCCTGTTGGGCGTCTACCTCCCAGGAAACCAGAATTTGCTGAGAGTGGCTCTCTCAGCAGCTACTTTGTGGTCAATCACGAGTGGGAGCATCACGACACTGGTAAACAATATTTTTGCTCTGTGGGGAATGCCCCACCAAGGACCTGTTTTTCTCCCAAACAGGAAATGCAACATATGCTGTTCTGGAGGAGCCCTGGGTCACCACTCACAGAGCAACACTCTACTTCTTCCATGGTCAGATCATCTGAACTATGCCTTCCCTCCACTACTACCCCTGCCTCGAGTCTTGTGGAAGATTTGGCAGGACAGAGCACGCACTATTCTCAATGCCCCAACTGGCCCAGACAGTTGAGGTTTCTAAACCTCCTATGCGTGTCATCTCGAGCACCAATCATTATTCCTACATTTCCTGATCTCCTGACTCAAGGGAGCAGCAAAATCAGGCATCCCCACCCACGGGCGCTTCATCTCAGAGCCTAGTTTTGTCCTTAGAGCAATTGTGTTCTGAAGCTGTATAGAACATCCTTTCTAGCAGTTGGAAGGAGTCCACTAGGGGATGTTATCTAGCCACGTGTAAACATTTCTCTGTTTGGGTGTATCAAAGGCGTATTTCTCCAGAAGCCACAGATATTCCTCTCATTCTGGATTACATTCTTTCCTTGAAGACAGCAGGCTTGCTCATCCATTCCTTATGGGTCCACATGGCAGCCATCAGTGCATACCATCTGCCTATACAGGGCTACTCAATCTTCACGCACCCTCTGACTAGCAAATTCTGGAAAGGCCTAATCAGAACTTTTTGCACCTATAAAAAAGCCTACTCTTCAATGGGATTTGCACCTTGTTCTCTCACTAGGCCTCCTTTTGAATAATTAGCCTCCTGCTCCATGTCTCTCCTATCCATGAAGGTTGCATTCCTGGTAGCCACCACCTCAGCCAGGAAGGCTGGTGAACTTGGGGCGTTGATGGCAGATCCCCCTTACACTATAGTGCATAAGGACAAGGTTTCATTATGTTTACACACTAAATTTACCGGCTCCACAGTAGTCTGAGTTTCACCTGAACCAGTCTATCCACTTACCAGTGTTCTTCCCAAATCCTCATCCATCCTCAGAAGAAAGGAGGTGCCATTCTCTTGACATTTGATGAGCCGCAGCCCTTTACCTGCAGACAATGAAAACACTCGGGAAATCCCATAGACTATTTGTCGCCATATTGGAAGGGGTCTGGTTATATCCTCTGAAAGAATCTCAAAACGGATTTGGGGCTGTGTTTTGCTCTGCTATCAGCTGTCTAATTGTCTCTTTCCACAAGAGAACAAGCAGCGTCTACAGTACTGCTTCGAGGAGTGCCTCTTCTTGATATTTGTGAGACAGCTACGCGGAGCTCAGTCCACGTGTTTGTGAGACACTCTGCATGGGTACAGGACTCCTCTACGGCTGCATCTTTTGGAATAGCAGTCCTTCATACAGCTCTGCCATCTATTACCTCACACCCTCCTCCTATTTAAGTACTACTTGTCAGTCACCCACATTGGAATACATATAGGGACTAGCACTCGAAAAAGAAGAGAAAGTTACTTGCCTTATAGTAACTGGAGGTTCTTGGAGATGTGTGATCCTTATCTGTATTCCACTACCTTGACCTCCTTCCATTAAAACAACAAGGAGTCCGGTGGCACTTTAAAGACTAACGGATTTATTTGGGTATAAGCTTTTGTTGGTAAAAAACCCACTTGTTCAGATGCAGGGGTTTTTTACCCATGAAAGCTTATGCCCAAATAAATCTGTTAGTCTTTAAAGCCACCGGACTCCTTGTTGTTTTTGTGGATACAGGCTAACACGGCTACCCTCTGATACTTGACCTCCTTTCACTGCGCTTCAGATCTTCTCTGATTTGCAGTGAAGAAGGAACTGGAAAGGCGGTTGGTCCACCCCGCCCTTTATCTCCTCAGTCAGAGGCACGAGTAAACCAGGGCAGATGTGCAGGCTAATGGACACTGCTTTCGAAATTCTCTGGCTCCAGGCACGTAGAACCCATGCATACCCACAGTGGAACATGAATAGGGACCGAACCTCTAGTTACTATAAAGTAAGTGACTTTCTCTTTATGGAAGAGGATGACTTTCCAGAAATGAGGCTGGGTTATGAGTTGGGGTAGGAGTGCTGGTCATGGTGATAGCAATTATCAGCCGCATTTTGTAGGAGGTTTGCCAGAAAGGGACTTGAGAATCAAATATAAGGGATTTGGGGCTCACCCTTTAAACTGTATGTGGTCATGTGAATTAGACAGTGCATTACCCTTGCGTCTCCAGCACCCAAAAGTTTTATAATTCTCCTCCCAAACTGACAAATGTGAGAAACCACAATGATGATGATTTTGGTTTTTTTCCTGGAAAGAAACTGTACAAGATATGTCGGGTGATGCAGGAAAGGATCGTGGAACTGCTGGTGGCAGTGGAGAATGAAGATGTGATAGCTGAATTAATACAAGCGAATGAAGATTTGAATAACGTCCTCCTGGGCCATGAAAGGTAAATTTATTAGTGAAACCAGAACCTGTCTTTTCCACTTTGGTCTCAGTAACAGGTTCTCCTGACTGGGCCGACCAAATCTGTTACATTTTTTTTAACACTCAAGTATGATGTTTATGTCTTAGTGCAGGGAAGCTGCACCTGTATTCCCCCTCCAAGGTCCAGCAAGGGCACCCACTCTCAGGCATCCAGCTTCCCAGCAATCACCTCCCTTGGGCAGAGACACGTCTCTATCACTTCTAACTGGAGTGTTGCCAGGCTGCACAGTTCCCTGCCTGCCCTGTGAATTCCCCAGCAAACTCCTAAGATACTTAATTCAGTTAGGTATAACTTAATTCAAGTTTGTCCAGGATATTGCAGGAAACTGTTATATCTGTTGCAGTTTAATCTGCTCTTTCAGGGTGAAATTCACCCTTCTGCAGAGGACTAACATGAGCCATATGGGCCATTTAAGTGCCACTTGAGCTCTGAGGCTTAAATGGTCCATATGACTGGTGCTGGCTGTCTCTAGAGAGATGAATTTCATCCTCCATCAACAAGAAAGGAACAGCATGTTCCTTTTTTGTGTTGTACTTATATTTATCTGCTGAGCTTGTCTCTCCAGGCACTTGAGAAGCAGCAGACAGGTTAAAATTTGTAGAAGGGTCCCTAGAATACCAGCTTGCAGGGTAAACCAAAGTACTAGCGTAGCTGGGAATAATAAAGCAAGAGGAAAGAAACAGACTCCGAGTCCTTCTGTTAGCATGGGTCTCGGATACAGTGGATTTGGCTTCAGTCAATTATGAGCTCTCTTTGTTCCTTTGGTTACCCACATGCTGAGCTTAACTGCAGCATGCACATGCTCCTAGGGAAGACAGACAGTTTTACTGCAGGCATCGGCCAAAAAGTGGAGTTCCTGCTTCCTTAAAAGGATCACATGCGACTCTCCACAGTAGCAAACAAGTGATTCTACTCCCCCCCCCCCCCCCCGCCAGGCACAAATAGGTATTATTTCACACAAGGAAATCCTGGATGCGTGAGGTGTTGACATCTGCATTTATTTACTTATTGATTTCATCAGTGGGATAACTAGGGCTTAGAAAATACCAGAATTTCAGCATTTCCCAAGCAACAAATAACAGAGATCATCCTGGTATGTGATTAGTCTTAGCTGTGAATGGATGGCTTTCCTAACCAGAGGTGAGATGACTGTGTTCTAAAAACCATTCTACAGCACCATGTGGTTGGGGAACAAATTGAAGGCTTGTGCTTCCCACATAGGGAAAATTAAGCCTTTCAAGGAACATTGAACTCTTTGGTTTTTGGGCTGGGCAGAGTGGAGCGCACTGATGAGACCACACTCTTCTTCATCCATCAGCTATGATGGCCCATCAGTTATGATGGCCCACCAGTAGATTGTCATCAAGAAGACCAACTTCTCGCATATTTAACACTTCACAGGACACCACAAATTTCTGGCAGGCCTTGGAGACATGTCATCCTGCCACATACTCTGTTCAGTCACTCACTGCTGAGGGACTGGCAAAGGGGGGCATATTAGAGGACAGTGGGGTGACCTGGGAGAAGGAGAGTAGAATAAAGAGGAGTTGCAATGACCAGGAAAGGGAAGAGGAACAGAGTGGGTTAAGGGAGGGGAGGAAAGCTCCAATTAATGCCTCGTCCTTGTTTGTCTTCTGTCGGTTCCAGTTTATTTCAGAAGAACTTTGATTAACGTCTTCACGCCACAATCCTTAGCGCTGTAACACTTGGAATGTGTGCTCCAGGCATATATCACAAGATTGTTTTTCCATTGTGTGACTTTCTGATACAGGAGCAATTTTTGTGGAAACTCTGAAGCTGCTAACTGCATGAACTGAGAGGTTCTTAAAAGCTGCTTTTAGGTGCTGTTAAATCTGTGCAGGTATTGCTGTTCTGTCCCTGTAGTGGGTCTTAGGAAAATCCAAATAAAATGTGTTCCCTTTGGAAAAGAACCCTGACCTCTGAGAATTTGCACAGTGAGCTTTTGGTTGTAGCCGGGATGACAGCATATAGACAGTCAGCAACGGGTATGATGCAACAAAGCTATTAATAAGTAAAATAGATGAACTTTGTTTTTTGGGGGAGAAAGAGGGAGTTAAAGACAAAACAAGAACCCATTCTGGTTACATTAATCTTTAATGAGAGTCCCAAAGCCAAAATTGTAAGTCAGACTGAGCCATTAAAGTGCCATGAATCTGTTTGGTTCTGTGTTTGTACAGCCCCTAGCACAATGGGTTCATGATTGGCATTCTTAGGCACTACTGCTATACAAATAATTATCATAATAATATACATGTTCAAAATAATAACAGAAGTTAATGAGCATCATGTGGCTTGCACTTGCAGTTAATACTTCAAAATTCCTTGATTTTCTGGTGTTAATTTGGATTATTATTATTATTATTGTTTGTTGATATTATTATTATTTTATAATTAACTGAGTCTATCCAGAAGAATGCCAAAACATTTTTCAGACTACATAATAGGTTGCTTTTTTTTTATACAGTGTTTTTTCATCAGAGGACCAAAGCATTCTGCAGAGATGGGTGACGTTAATTCATCCACCTGAAATACCTGTGAGGTGAATCAGTAAATATCATTGTCCCTATGTTTACAGCTGCAGAAACTAGTGTCACTCTGAGTTAATTTCCCAGACCACAGAAGAGCTCTGTGTAAGCTCGAAAGCTTTGTCTCTCTCACCAACAGGAGTTGGTCCAATTAAAGGTATTCCTTGCCCTCCTTGGCTCATTGATTATAATGGCATTTAGTCAGGGCAGCAGGTTTAAGACTGTCGCAAAGAATGCTGTGGGATCTCTCATGATCAGGAGGAGTCAGTACTCCCGTGCAACATTGTCTACACTAGGACTTGTGGCACCTTAGAGACTAACAAATTTATTAGAGCATAAGCTTTCGTGGACTACAGCCCACTTCTTCGGATGCATATGCATATGCATCCGAAGAAGTGGG